ACACGGGATTGAGGTCACGGCAGGGGACACTGGGGGTCATTTGGACCATGGGAATGGGATTGGGGTCACGGCAGGGGACACTGGGGGTCATTTGGACCATGGGAATGGGATTGGGGTCACGGCAGGGGACACTGGGGGAAATTGGGACCATGGGAACGGGAATGGGGTCACGGCGGGGGACACTGGGGGGGGATTGGGACCATGGGAATGGGAATGGGGTCACGGCGGGGGACTGGGAGTGACGCTGGGGTCTGGGCTGGGGTCCAGGTGGGCAGCAGGGAGGACAAGGGGTCTGGGGCCAGGGGGTGACGGGGGGACTCTGAGAAGCCAGCTGCCCTCGGTGTCCCCTCCGCACTGCCACCGTGTCCCCTCAGTGTCCCCCGGTGCCCTTTGGTGTCCCCGCACCGGGTCACCCCACGGCCCCGCTCTCCATGGACCCGCTGCCGCCGACCCTGGCACTGATCACCGTGGCCATCACCGCGGCCACCGCGGCCACCGCCGTCCCGGCCGGTGACACCGCCGCCCCGCCGGTGGTGGCCCTGGACATGGCCCCGGGCGCCTTCGATGACCAGTACCGGGGCTGCGGCCGCGCCATGGCCGCGGCCCTGCCGGCGCTCAACCGCTCCGAGTTCCGGCGGAGCGGTCACTTCGCCGAGGGCTGGGCCCTGGCCGCGGCCGAGTGGCGCGTCCGGCCGTCCCCTCGGTCCCCTCGGTCCCCTCTGTCCCCGGCCCAGGCCATCGCGCTGCTGGCCTACACGGCGCCGGTGCCGCTACACCGGGAGTTCAACGATGCCGTGCGCACGGCCGGGAACTCCAGCCAGCAATACCGGGACAAGTTCCACTTCAAAGCGCTGCATTTCCTGCTGACCGACGCCCTGGCCACGCTGAGGGACGCGCGGGGACCGCGGTGTCACCGCGTGTACCGGGGCGTGCGCGGGCTGCGGTTCGAGGCGCGGCGCGGCGACACCGTCCGCTTCGGGCACTTCGCGTCGGCATCGCTGCGCAACGAGAGCTCCTGGGCCTTCGGGACGGACGCGGCGTTCCAGGTGCTCACCTGCCAGGGCGCGGCCATCCGGGAATTCTCCTTCTTCCCGCACGAGGAGGAGGTGCTGATCCCGCCCTTCGAGACCTTCGAGGTCACCGCCGTCACCGCCGTCACCGAGGCTGGGGACAAGGCGCGGATCCAGCTCCGCTCCAGCGGGACCTTCAGCAACTACAACTGCGAGTGGCTGCGAGGTGACAGCCTGGGGACAGCCTGGGGACAGCCTGGGGACGGGGACAGGGACAGGGACACAGTGCTGGGGACAGGGACAGTCAGAGAAGGTGAGGGGACAGGGACACAGTGCTGGAGCAGGGACAGGGACACAGTGCTGGGGACAGGGACAGGGACAGGGGACAAGGACAGGGACAGGACAGGGACAGGACAGGGACAGGGATAGGGACAGGGAACAGGGATGGGGACAGGGACAAGGGACAGGGACAGGGACGGGGACAGGGACATGGACAGGGACAGGGATGGGGACAGGGGACAAGGGACAGGGGACAGGGACTGGGCCACCCCCGGTGCTGACGCTGTCCCTCCCCTCATCAGAGCAGCGCTGTGGGGACGGGCCCTGTGTGTTTGACGCAGGTGAGCTGGGACCCCCCCTGTCACCCATGTCACCCCCCATGGCACTGCCACCCCCCTGTCACCCCCCTGTCACCCCTGTCACCGCTCACCCCCTCCCCATCCCTCTTTGTCCCCCCAGGTGGGAGCGTCCCCAGGGCCCCCCCCCACCTCGGGGGGCTCCTCCTGGCCACCACGGCCCTGGCAGTGGCCACCGGAACCCTCTGAGCCACGAGGCCACCGAGGTCACCGCGGTCACAACGGCCACCAAGGCCACCAGGACCTCCTGAGCGGCAAGGCCACCACTGCGGCCACTACGGTCACTTTGTGGCCACTGTGGTTGCTGTGGTCACTTTGGCCACCACAGCCACACTGGCCACCATGGGCACTGGGGTCACCATGACCACGAAGGCCACCAGGACCCCCTGAGCCACAAAGCCACTGTGTGGCCACCAAGGCCACCACCGTCCCTGTGGTCACTATGGCCACCATGGGTATTGGGCCACTGGAGTCACCACTGTCACCGTGGCCATTGTGGCCACTGTGGCCAGCGAGGCCACCATGGTCACCAAGGCCACCAGCACCCCCTGAGCCGCTGTGGCCCCCAAGACCACCATGGTCACCAAGGCCATTGTGGCCACCAAGGCCACCATGGTCACCAAGGCCACCGGGCCACCATGGTTATCAAGACCACCATGGTCACCGGGGCCACAAGGCCACCAAGGCCACCACGGCCACTGTGGCCACCAAGGAGACAATGACAAAGCCACCACTGCCACCAGGACAGGGACAGGACAGGGGGACCTTGGACGGGCCATGGTCGCCATTTTTGGCTTTTGGAGAATTTTCTGTCCCTTTCCAACAATTTCAATTTTTCTGCCGGATTATTAAACTGCATTTGCCTCAGTCCATGAGTTATCTCTGACTTTAACCCAAATTTAGGGATTTAGGCCCAGTTTAGGGGATTTAGACCCAAATTAAAGAATTTAGGCCAGTTTAGGGGATTTAGACCCCAATTAAGGCATTTAGGCCTCGTTTGGGGGATTTAGACCCCAATTAAAATATTTAAGCCTGGTTTAGGGGATTTAGACTCAAATGTAAAATTTTAGGCCCAGTTTAGGGGATTTAGACCCAAATTAAAGGATTGAGGCCTCATTTAGGGGATTTGAACCTGAATTAATGGGGTTAGGCCTGACTTAGGGGATTTCACCCAGAATTAAGGGATTTAAACCTGAATTAACGTGGTTAGGCCTGATTTGGGGATTTCACCCAGAATTAAGGGATTTAAACCTGAATTAACGTGGTTAGGCCTGATTTAGGGGATTTCACCCAGAATTAAGGGATTTAAACCTGAATTAACGTGGTTAGGCCTGATTTAGGGATTTCAACCCGAATTAAGGGATTTAAACCTGAATTAATGGGGTTAGGCCTGACTTAGGGGATTTCACCCAGAATTAAGGGATTTCATCCCAAATTAAGGGATTTTCAAACTGGTTTAAGGCATTTTGACCATTTCTGAGGTCCTGGGGGTCCTGTGGGGTCCCACCCCAGCAGGGTCAGGGTCCCCCCGGTGTCCCTTGGTGGTGGCTCCCCATCCCCATCCCAGTAAAACCAGTTGAGGTGACGCCTGTCCCCAGCAGTACCCCGGAGTGGGAGGACACCGGGGTGACCTGCCAGGACCTTGGGGACACCAAACCCTCCGGTGGCAGCGCCTGGAGGGGACACGTCCCCCGTGGTGGGCCCGGGACGGGTTTGGGGTGTCCCCAGCCAGGAACCCCCAGATTCCTCGGATTTACCTGGAAAACCCCCCTGGAACCCCCCCAAAATGTCCCCTCTGTCCCCTTGTCAGATGTCCCCGACAAGGCCGTGTCACGGGAAGCTCGGGATTAATTACCCCTAATTAGGATCAAGGGATCGTTGACGTTGGGCGGGTGTGACAAGGTCGCGGTGCTGGTGGCACTCCCTGGTGCCACCTCGGCGCCATCACGGGACAAAGTCCTCGTCCCTCTGTCCCCGTGGGACCCGAGCCCCGCCGTGGGGTGGGGCCGGGCTTTGGAGAGGGGACATGGGGACACTGGGGTGGACATGGGGACACTGAGATGGGGGGGGGGACATGGGACATGGGGACACTGGGATGGACACGGGGACATGGGGGGGGATGGACGTGGGGACACTGAGATGGACATGGGGACATGGGGACATGGGG